GACCACTGCAGCTTCCTAACTTTCCTCTTTCTTTTGTCTTGCTTCTCCACACTGCAAGTGGCATTATCGCTTCCTGCTTAAAAACACTCTAATGTTCTCCCACATCCCTGCACTTTCAATCAATGCCTTTAAGGAGTAAGTTCACATTTCTTAATAGACTGACTAGAGTTTCTGTGACCAGACCTTTCCTTTCAGGTGGTTTCTTTGAAGCTCCTATCCCATAAAACCATACTGCTATTACACAGCACCCTTCATGCTGGCCTCTTAACCACTTGCTGTGCCTCTAACCAGGAAAATCTCTGATCTCCCTTCCTCTATCTTAGTGGTTCTCAAAATGTAGGCTGTAGGTAACTGGAGAATCTGAGAACTTTTCAGGGGGTCTGCAAGGTCAAAGCTATAATAATGTAAGACATGACTATATTTTTTACCTTACAGATCTTAGCATGGGTAGTGTAGAGGCACTGGTTAGTAAAACTGTGGGCATGTTAGTATGAATCAAAACAGTGATACCTTTGGGCTTGAGAGATAATCCAGGGGTTTAGGTACTTGTCTCACACACATCAACTCACTTCAGGTTCAGCCCCTAAAATGGTACCATATATATGGTACTCTGAGCTTTGCCAGGAGTGATTCCTGAGCGTAGAGCCAGGGGTAAGCCTTAAACATCAACTTTATTAGTGTTTATTGTGTTCCTTACTGTGACACAGTTGATGAGGGAAAAAAAAACAATAACTAACTAGTTTCATTTAAGAATATGCATGCTAAAAATAATAAAACATAACGGTGGGCTGATTAATGACCTCCTAAAGATGTTTGCTTTCTTATACCTGAAATCTGTGAGCATGAGCATGTTTCTTTACATAGCAAAACAAATTATGTAGATGTAATTAGTCCACATTGAGATGGCGGAGTTATCCTGCATTATTTGGCAGTTCTATGTAATCTGACAGTTTCTCTAAGAGGGAGAGAGAAGGAAGAGTGTCAGAGGAAATGTGGCCACAGAAACTGAGAAGGAAAGCGAGAAAGAAGGAAAGAAGGGCCTTATAGACCTTGAAGATGAAGGAAGAAAGGGGCTATGACCTAAAGAATAAAGGTTGTTTCTAGAATCTGGAAAAATAAAAATGAAAAATGAAAAAATCCCCAAACCCAAGTTTATCCAGAAGGGATGCAGCCCTGGTATACCTCGATTTTAGGGCTTCTGACTTCCAAAAATATAAGATAAAAATATAAGCTGTGAAATTTGTAATTGCAGCAGTAGAAAGTGAATTTATTTTATTAAATGTAAAATAAAACATTTATTTTATTAAATGTAAAATAAAATTTTAGGTAACATTTATTTGGGTATCATTGGAGATTTTTGTTTCTATAACATGTCTGTTTCCAGGAAAAGCATGAGATTTGAGTTATAAATTAATTTAACCACTTTAAAAAATGGAACACCATTTTTATATGAAGGAACAAAATGTGAATAAAAATCAATTATAGTTACCCAGACTTATAAATACAACATTATATGTATATATGTATACATACATAATACAAATGAGGAAACTGCTTTAAAAAATGCAGTCATTTTGAATGCAGATCTTGCGATAATGTGGCTGTGAATTCAATCCTGGATGCCACCACACATGCATGGCATCTCTGTTGTTTGAGCCTAAGCTGTACTATCTCTGATTCCAAGACCCACAACAATTTCTGGCCACATCACAGTTAGGTGTGTGTCCCCACAACCCCCAGTAGATACTACTAAAAGAAGTATAAATATCATGGCTAGAAAGTACAACCCCTGGTAAGCACTTGTGTGAACACTGCAGTGATGACCACTGGTGAACACTTTAACCAGGATTTGTGTGAGCACCATAACGAAAGAGTAAGAATCCAGTGAGCATGTGTGCAATGCACACAGCTAAAGAAGCATAATTCTAAGTGTGCACCATGGCAAAGCATGCAGTGAGAAGCACAACTAAACATGGGGAAACAATGCTAGGTCTGTCACTGAAAAGGGGAGGGAGGGGGGAAATGAACAAATATGAACAAATATGTCTAAACAAATGAAAAGAACACAAAATAAACAATTGGCAATAATGTCACTGAAAAAAATGAAGCATCCACACACAAATTAGCATTTTGGAGAATTTATATTTCACTTTGAATTTGACTTTCCTAATACTTAGATCTTTTCTAATGAGTTTGTAAATAATGAAAATGACATTTAGATGTTATATAATGAAATGTATTAACATTTAGAAAATTTATCTCAGTGCATCAATGTTTTTTATTTTATTTATTTATTTTTGCTTTTTGGGTCACACCTGGCAATGCACAGGGGTTACTCCTGGCTTTGCACTCAAAAATTACTCCTGGCGGTGCTCGGGGGACCACATGGGATGCTGGGAATCGAACCTGGGTCAGCTGCGAGCAAGGAAAATGCCCTACCTGCTGTACTATCACTCCAGCCCCAGCATCAATGTTTTTATTTATTTATTTATTTATTTTTGCTTTTTGGTTCACACCCATCAATGCTTAGGGGTTACTTCTGGCTCTGCACTCAGAAATCACTCCTGGCATACTCGGGGGACCATATGGGATGCTGGGAATGGAACTCGTGTTGACTGCGTGCAAGGCAAACTCCCTACTCTCTGTGCTATCGCTCCAGCCCCATATCAATGTTTTTAAATGACCAATTCATGGATAAAGCATCTCTTTCAAGTGCAACATAAACATTTTAAAAATAAGAGTGTAAAGCTTCATTTATGATTTCCAGTCTTACGCGATAGCACAGCGGTAGGGCGTTTGCCTTGCACTCAGCCAACATGGCCGACCCGAGTTCGATTCCTCCGCCCCTCTCGGAGAGCCCGGCAAGCTACCGAGAGCATCTCGCCCGCAAGGCAGTGCCTGGCAAGCTCCCTGTGACATAAGGCAGTGCCTGGCAAGCTCCCCGTGACGTATTCGATATACCAAACACAGTAACAACAAAGTCTCCAGTGGAGACGTTACTGGGCCCCCTCGAGCAAATCGATGATCAACGGGAGGGCCTTTACTTACTTTACGGTTCATTTTCATTTATTTATTTTGGTTTGGGGGCCATACCCAAAAGTGCTCAGGGCTTACTCCTGTAGGGGTCTTGGAGGAAGCTCTCTGTGGTGCTAGGATTGAACCTGGGTTAGCAGCATGCAAACAAGTACCTTACCTGCTAAAACTCTGGCTCCTAAAGTTTACGATTTATTTACTTTTTTTAAAAAATTGTTTGATGGGGGGAGGGGACTGACACCCAGCAATGCTCAGGTATTACTCCTTGCTCTGCACTCAGGAATTAATCCTGGCCATTCTCAGGGGACCATATGGGAGGCAAACACCCTATCCGCTGTACTATCGCTCCAGCCCCTAAAGTTTACAATTTTTAATCATTTCTTGTTTTGTTTTGTTTTGTGGTCACTGCTGGCAGACTCAGGACTTACTTCTGGTTCTGGATTTAGAAATCACTCCTGATGGGTTTGGGGACCATATGGGGTGCCAAAGAAAGAACCCGGGTGAGGGACTTGCAGAGAAAGTGCCTTTTTCACTGTATTATCTCTATGAACCCCTCAAGTTTACAATTTTTAGTTTTCTAGTATATTCACAGAAATGTGTAACTATCATCATAGTTTTAGAGCATTTTTTATCACCATCCACATCTCTCCCATCCGCCCCCCCAAAAAAAAATCTGTGCCCCTTGGCAGTCTCTTCCTATTTCTTCCTAGCAGCCAGTCTTGCTGTAGTGGGCTGAAGTAGTAGCACACTATTTCCTGTTCAGAGTTGCATTTACTGGATACATATCATGTAAATGAAATCATCTTTTTTTTTTTTTTTTTTTTTTTACCACACGGCTCTACTCAGGGCTTACTCCTGCCTCTGTACTCGTGTAATATTTCTGGAAGTGCTTATTACACCATCTAGAGCGCAGGGAAGGGGCCACAATGGGGTTGCCGGATCCAACCAAGGTTGGCTGTGTGCAAAAGTGAGCGCCCGTTTCTATACTACCAGGTATATAGTTTGGCACCCAAACCAAACATTTTTTGGCTAATATTTTTAAAGCGTGCGGGAGACGTTATTGGGCCCGCTCTAGCAAATCGATGAACAACGGGAGGCTAGTGCTATTGTGCTATAGTTTTTGAACGTCTATTAATGTTTATTTGCCCATGGGTTTATCTTCTTTGGAGAAGTGTTGACTCAAATCTTTTGTACGTTATAAAATTTTATTATCATTTTATCTGATGAGGATCTAATCAGAATATAGAAAGAACTAAATAGAACAAAATTAATTGATGTATTGATGTAAAGGTGACAGCTAGTCGATGTATTTCCTTAATCTCAATTGTTCCGTTTCTATCATCTTCTATACTTATGCCAGTAGGGACATTGCACCGCAAAGAAATAATGAAAAGGATGGGTCTTTAACTCAAATCAAGCAACTCAAGAATCGGAAAGTGCTTCTCCCCCTCTACCAGTTTAGAACTTTGGGTAGCAACAGTACCCACCCATATTGTCTCCAATGGGATCTTTGTTGGTTTCTTTCGTCTTCCAATCAAGATGACGTGTTGGGCGGTGAATGGGGACTGGTTAAACCAAAAACCAAAATAACGTTAGCTTTCGAGTAAGGAGCACTGGCATCCATTCCAACTTACTTCGGGAGTCTGGCCGGCCAAACCGGGAGACAATAGGAGCCCGGGCACGGCGCTCGGAACCCGCAAGGTGCCGCAGAGCGAAGAATCTGGGCTGTTCACGGGTTTCGAACACCGAGCTTGGGGCTCAAGAACTTTCTCCCCAAGCGCGGGGGGGGTGGTTCGAGGGAGAGCGGCGAGGTGAGGTTCTGGCAGAGGCGAGGTCGACGCGGACCATCCCCAGTGCCCGGGGGCCGCGTCCCGCAGCCGCGGTGCCCCACGCCCGCTTTTCCCGCCGCTCTCTTTCCTCCGTCCGCGGCCCCCTCCCCGCGCGGAGAGGAAGTGACGTGAGGCGGAGCGGAAGTCCCTCCAGCCGCGGTGTTGTGCTGTGTGGGGAAGGGAGACGGGTTTGTAAACCCCGGAGCGAGGTCCTGCCTGCCGAGGCCGCTGCTGTGCGGAGACCCCGGGGCAAGCCACCGTCACCATGTCGGATCAGGTAGCCGCCGGGTAGCCGCCGGCCGTGCCGGGCCAGCTCCGGCCGCACGTCCTGACGCTTGGCCGGGGCCGGGGATGGAGAAAGCGCGGGGGAGGGGAGCGCGGCATGGGGGAGGGGGCGGCCGGTAGGGACTCGGCGGGCGAAGGAGGGGAGTGGACGTGGGCCGGAGCCGCGGGGGCCTGCCGCCGGCCCCGGGAGCCGCCCCTCCAGCTCCCCGGGCTCGCTCATCCTCCGCGGCGTCCCGGCACTTGTGCTCGCGGCCTCTCCGAAGCCGTCCCCCGTTCTCCGGGGTCGACCAGGTGCAGCGCCCAGCTTCCACCTCCGGGAAAGGGTCCCCCGGGGAACCCGTCGGCCTTCGTCTCCGGAGGACGGATTGCAGAAGCCGGGCCCTAGGCCCCAGTTATGTAACGGCGGAAAAAAAAAATCCCTGCCCGGGAGGCTCCGTGGACCTGCAAAGCCAGGAGCTGGGGGGACTCCCACTTTCTTTGCTTCTCGGGCTTTGCGTAGTCCCGGAGTGGGGCCGTGGGGGCGGGGAGGGAGGCGGCTCGCGTTGCTGGGAACCTGGAGAGCTCCGCTTGGCGTTTGGCTGGCGAGGAGGGCCTGGCTGCTGTGGCTCTGCCGAGCCTGGTGTGTTTGGGGGTGGGGGCTCGGGGTGGGGTAGGGTGGGGTGGGGTGCGTAGCTGTCGCTTTTCTTGTACTTGCCCATTCCTTACTCGGGATTGGTTCAGCAACTCGCCAGTTGCAAGAAGAGCGCCCAGAATAACCCGGGAACAAAAGTAGGACAAAACTGCCAGAGTAATAAAAAGCATTTTATACGTATTCATCTGAAGATGCCTGATCATTTTGAGAAAAAGGAGAGGAAAACTTTGCGTGCATGGCGCAGTGGCAGAACCTGTGCAGAAACAGTTTTCTTTGCTACATTTCAATGTTAAAACGGCGGGAATTTATTGAGGGTTCTCAATTAGCAATGTTTGGTTTTTATACGTGGGAAAATTTTTTTTCAATAGATAAACTTTTTTGGGGGGGAGGTCTGGTTTTCACTTTGTTTAGACGATTTTGCCTTTTAAAAGTGTGTTTGTTTTCTTTTTGTTTGTTGGTGGATTTTAGATAACTTTTTTGGGGGGGGGGGCCGGGTGCCAGGCATAGACCCCAGGAGCTCAAGTATGGTATGAAATCTACCACTTGAGTACATCCCTAGTCCCTAGGAAACTTTTCTCCTCAAATTCCATAATGTACTCAAACTTTTAAATTTAACACACATATTCCCTTGGCATTTAACCCAGTTTATATCACTTGGTGAGAGCAAGACAGATGAATATTTCAAATATTATGTAAAACGTGCATTTATTTTTTTAAAGCTTAGCTATAATTTAGATTATTTTCAGTTGGATCTTTTTACTGTCTGAAATAATTCCTAAATTGGTTTGGAAAGCGTATTAGAAGTATCTCCCTGGATAGTTGTTTACTTAGTTACAGGGAAGGAAAGACTCCAGGTATAAATCTTAGTTTCCTCAGCCTTTTATTTTGATGCTTAAAAGTTTGTTGGATTTAAATTTTTTGGTTTTGTTTTTTGGAGACCACCCATTTACTCCTGGCTCTGCACTCAGGAATTGATATTGAGGGGATGTGCTCAGGGGATGATACAGGATGCTGAATGGAACCTGGGCAGTTCTAATACAAGGCAAGTGCCCTGTCTGCTGCTATCTGACCCCTTGATGCTTAGAAGTGGCCACAAAGCCTATTGAAATATACTGTAATTTATTGCTCAAGTTTGAGTCAGGTAATTTAAGGAAGTAATGAAGGAAGGAATAAAAGATACTGGAAACAAAAGATGTTAGCCTACCTGGGTGACTCTAGGCTACAGCTTCTGACACTTCATTTCTGCAGATTCCGGAGACTGAAGTCTATTTTCAGGATAGTATTGAGACATTATTGATGTTTTCACTCTCTTTATATCATGAGTGTTCTGTGGCATTTTTTTCAAGACATACGTGACCTGTGTGTAGCAGTGTGTGCATGCACGTGCGCACACACACACGCACACACACACACAGAGCGATACTCAGGCCACTCCTTGTGGTACTTGGGGGAACCATAAGTGGTGCCGGGAATTAAATGGGGATTGGCTACATGGAATGCAAATGTCTTAAATCTTCTGTACTATTGTTTTCAAGATATATTTTAGTAAAATAAGTTATCAGTACATAATGGGCTTATTTTAAGTGAATTAATAAATACCTGAAACCTGTTTTTTAGTTTCACTAATACAGAAAGCCTCAACAGATATAACCAATCTTTTTGGTTTTAAGTAATTTTTAAAACTACAAGTTTTGAGACCATTAAGTTTGTGAACTTTTTCTCTGAATTGGTTGCTCAGCATAGTTGTGTAGTTACTATGTATTTAAAACTCAGTTCTTCTCACCCATAAGATTCTTATGGGTGAGAAGAATCCCAAGTGTCTACATATCATACCTGCAGCATGAGACCAGATGACTGTCCTCAAAAGACAGTTTTAACTGGATTCTTTTACAAAGATTTAAAAAAAAATGTTTTTTTTTTTTTGCTTTTTTTTGGGGGGGTCACACCCGGCGATGCACAGGGGTTACTCCTGGCTCTGTACTCAGGAATCACTCCTGGCGGTGCTCAGGGGACCATATGGGATGCTGGGAATTGAACCTAGGTTGGCCACGTGCAAGGCAAACACCCTACCCGCTGTGTTATCGCTCCAGCCCCTTAAAAGTTTTTAAAATTTATTTGTTGCTTTTTGGGTCACACCCAGCAATGCACAGGAGTTACTCCTGGCTCTTCACTCAGGAATTACTCCTGGTGTTGCTTGGGGTACCATATGGGATGCTGGGACTCGAACCCGGGTCGACTGCGTGCAAGGCAAACGCCCTACCTTCTGTACTATCGCTCTAGCCCCAAAGATGTATTTTTCTTGGGCACCTCTTAGAAGCTAGTGCTGAAATTGCGTTGTAAATTCAGGGTAAAAGTCGATGTATTAGGTTCAAGCATCACAAAAATTTTGGGTTCTTCATTGATGAATAAAAAGTGGTTATTTTTTTTTTATTTTTATTTTTTTTGCTTTCTGGGTCACACCCGGCGATGCACAGGGGTTACTCCTGGCTCTGCACTCAGGAGTTACTCCTGGCGGAGGCTCAGGGGACCATATGGGATGCTGGGAATCGAACCCGGGCTGGCCGCGTGCAAGGCAAACGCCCTACCCGCTGTGCTATCTCTCCAGCCCCTTAATTGTAATTTTTTAAAAATTTGAGTGAAGCATTTTCTAACAATTTAACAATTCCAGTGTTACCTAGTATATATGTGGATCATAATCCTGGGAAACAGGTACTAAATCCTAGGTTCTTGAATCCTGAGGGCTGCAAATTCATGAAATGATGTGGAGTGCTTTTTGTACATGTGTATCTTTTAAAGTGGTTTTTAAATTTCATCAGGTGTACATGATTCCTCAGACAGGCTAAGAACTATCCTTTTGGGGCCAGGGAGATGTCTTGAAGGACTTAAGTGCATGCTTTGTTTGTGAGAGAAGTTGCATGTGAGAAGCCTGGTTTAATACCTGTCACCACATGGGCTCTCAGCTAGTACCAAGCCAGGAATGGCCTGAGCACTGTATATGGCACAGAAACCAAAATAAGGCTATCTTCTTACCAGTAACACATATGATGGATGTTCTTCTTAGTCATTTATAACATTCAGCAAAACCAAGTACTTCTACAGAATCAGAAGCTTAAAATCAAATGGTGTGGCTAATTTGTAGAGGTATTTTACCTTCTTCCTTCCCTTTATTTAAATTCATACGTGTATATTTCTATCCAGTATCATGAAAGGCAGCAGTGAATTTTAGGACTTCACATCAAGTTTATTTAATAATTGGATGGTTGATGTATTTTAAATAATTACTGAATCTTCTGTAAGAAGGTTTATCATGCTCTTTATCATTCTGGGAGTGATTAAATTATTTCTTTTTCTCACTAGGCAAGGATTTGGAAACCTATGATTCTGATTATCTCTTGGCACTTAACAAACTACCTCAAAATTTAGTGCTTTGAAATAGTTTCTGTTTTGCTCAGAAACCTGCAATGTGTGCAAGATTTGTTGGGTTGGACTTATTGGTCTCTGGTGTGGACATTTGGTCTAGTCCAAAACATGTTAGGGTGTTTGGTTTAGTCATAGGTCCGTGACAGTTGGTTCTGTTCAAAACTTTCAGTGCTATGTTTGGTTAGCACCTGCAGGTCTTTGGTATTTGGTCATTTAAAAAATGTAAGGAGTAAGCCTGAGTGGGTGTGGCTCAAATATCAGGGGGAAAAATATATCTGTCGCAGGCTAGGGAGATAGTATTGTGGGTAAAATGCTTGCCTTGCATGTCGCCAACCTGGCTTCAATCTCTAGCACCACATAAGGTCCTTTAAAACAATCAGGAGTGATGCCTGAGCACAGTAGAAATAGTACTGCATACATATATAGTTACTTATATGCATATGTTACATATAAGCATACATATAAGCACGTCCAGAGTCACTTCTGAGGTGCTTGTGTGTATGCATATATGTGTTCATATGTAAGCATGAAGCCAGGAATAGAATCTTAACATCACCAGTGTGGCCTCCAATAAAACAAAAATGCTATCATGTTTTCCTGTTTGTTTGGTTTTGGTTTTTGTGCCACATCCTGAAGTGCTCAGGGCTTACTCTGTGCTCAGGGATCACTCCTGGTGGTGCTTGGGGGACCCTATGGAATGCCAGACTTGAACTCCGCTCAGCTGTGTATAAGTCAAGCGCCTTACCCACTGTACTACCTTACTGGCCCTCTGTCACTTTTTATTGGTCTAATACTTTTGTTGTGGTTGTTTTGCCTTCAATAACTCTTAGCGTTTTTTTCTTAGTAGCGTTAAGCTACCAGGTAATGACACATGGATTAAGTAGATGGAAGGGATTAAAATCTTAAATAAGTACAGGATTTATTTTTATTTACTTGTTTAT